TAAACCAAATCAATTATTACAACGTTGCTGGATAATACACGTTGGGCTTGGGCCCACCACTAAATCAAGTCTCAACTCTCAAGTCGATCTCTTCTCTCCTGTTTGATTTGAAAACACAATGACTTGGAATCTTTGATCAGTCAATCCTATCCAGACTTTTCATCCAATCCCATATTCTTTGCTGAAGTTGTTTGCAATGTAATTTCTTTTTCGCTCCCAACAAGTACAACAGTGCAAATCCCAGTTTGGTTCCGTTTCAGATTTTATTTTGAAATAAAACAGATAAAACTGGAGAATAATGATCTAAAGAAAAAGTCATTATCAAATGTTGGTCCGAGTTATATTGGGTCTTGCGATGGGTGAATCGTAAGCTGCAACTTGGGCCGGGTTAGCCCGAACCCTGAACCGGATTAGGGTTAGGGCTGACTTTTTCCAACCTGATTTCACTACGAATTGGATTAGGGTTGATCCCTTGATCAACCAGATCTAACCTGAACCAGACTCTACTATTGCCATTGTACATATGGTATTTGCACTGGTTCCACAGCTCACTGAACACCTAAAGCGTTTAGCTAATCCGAATTCTTAACGAGGCATGGGTTCAAATTTGGAAAAGGCATGCTCTCAACTTTGTACCAGTGGACCCCTTGTACACCTGTTGCTAATCCCTCTAATCCCTTGACTATGTCTAGTGGCTAGCATAAAGCACTTTATCTTATGGGGAGATAAACTCACATGATCCATACCCCAATTCAAACGAAAAAAATAAAAGAAAAACCTAAAACATGCATTTTCATACTTGTCAGCTTGAGATTTTACCATCATATTAGGATTTAGGAATAATTATTTCTAGTTTAGCCTAATCCCAGTACATAAATTTCTGGGTTTGGACCTAGATTTTGTGTTTAAGCCCAACCCATCTTTAGCCTATATTAGGCCCAGAAATTTGTGGGTCAGGTTTGGGTTCAAAACTTTAGGCTTGGGCTACAATACATTTATATATTGCATTATCCATAATATATACATATTATATAATGAAAAACATGATATATGTTATATAATTATGCAATATATTTTATACATATGTTATATTTCATGTAATAAAATGTTATCTATATTGACTGTAATGTATTATCATTGGCCCAAAGCCTGGCCAGGCCTCTAATACTTGGATAGTTGGACTTAGACTTATATTTCAGGCCTAGGGTTTGGGCTGGGCCTGAGCTATAGCCTTATCATAGGTTGTAAGCTCAGCCCGGCCTGATCACCTCTACATTACACTAAGGTTTTGTTTGTTTTTCGGGAAGTTATTTATCCAAATAAATGCATTTACCCTGGTAAGTGTTTTTTGGGAAATACTTGGCCACACAAATGCATTTATTCATGTTCTTTTATTTTTCAGATAAATAAGACAATGACCAATTTAGCCATAAAATGCCATTATTAAAAGGGGCAATTTTATTCCATCCAACCATTGGCAATTCCCTCCTAGGTGGAAATGCTATTAATCCATTCACCCGGGTAAGTGATACCTAGTAAAAATAAATTTTCCATGGACTCCATATAAACCAAAAAAAAAAGAACATATGTATCTTGGTCAATGAGACTAAAATCCCATTGATCAAGTTTTCCCTCTCTCAAAATTCCAAAAACAAACAGGTCCTCAATAATCATCTCTCAGAAAAGTGAACTGGAACATGCATTCTTCTTATTTTCACTCATATATATATCTGTATTAATGCAAATAAAGTTGTACTACAAGCAAAAGAAGCTACAGTACATACTTGGAAAATAGCCTTCACAACTTATATTCCATTATTCCTTGTATGAGGTCAAAAAATCACCCTTATAGCCTGTAATCATGTAGCATCGTCACAGATTGCATTAAATTCTTGCCCACGGTAAGGGTGCAACTTGGGTTGGGTTTAGTATTGGTTAAATTTTAAATGACACGTAGACAGTAGAAACTGCGATGATGGATTGTGATGAAGGATGATTTGGCCCGATTTATAGAACGGCGACACGTGGACGCTGACTCAGCGTAAGCGACGGCTCAGCATTGTGGTATAGTGTGGCTAAGTGATGGGCTCATAAAGCAGCTCGCTACATGGTAGCGGAGGAAAGGAGGGGCTCGCCACAATGCGAGCTCCAGGTCCCCCAAGCAACCTCAAGGGACATTCCGAGGCAAAATTTAATTTGCGAGCTAAGAAAGTCAGCTCGCCCGAGCTCCCGAACAAGGCAAGTCATCCGAGGACCAATTCTATTAAGGGTACTCCTGAAGTATTCGAAGCTCGTTGCAAAGTAGCCCGCGAGTGGGCCGCACGAGCATTCCTCAGGAAGCTTCTATTTAATAGGCCGTACCAAGTCAGACTGGGCCACGTCCCTAACTGACGGCGCAGTCCCTGTCCTTTCGACAGTCTGCCCTCACGTCTCTCAATAGACGGAGGCATGCCTGTCACTTTGGGGACGTGTCACTCGTCCGGATAAGGAGTACGTCCCAACGGCCACCTACGCAGCTTGACAGACATGCCTGTTTATTTAAATGGACCTCCTTCGTAGTCTAAATCAAGGGTTTTTATAAGGATAAAGATAATCAAAGGGATGAGAGTTTAGGTGAGGACATCAATGCTGTCTCTTATTTGTTTAGACTGGATTAGGAATCTCCCCTTGAGCCTAAAATAAGTGTAGGTTTGTTGCTAGACAAGTTAGGAAGTGACTAGGGTTAAAAAAACCAAGAAGAGAGTCTAAATGAAATGGAAAACTGCAAATACAATGGTTTTTGGTCAAGTCGACTATATATCAGGTAGACAGATAATTGGTAGGACCAGTCTGTTATCAGATAGCCAAACACTTCCCTGTAGAAACGGGAATACTATTTGGTTCCTCATCCATTACAGTAGATTAGCCTAGGTGATAGGTTCCAGTTGACTAGAATAGTTGAGCCCCTGGTTTTTGAATCCAAATACTCTCTCATAAAGGGCTGGGGGAAATTAGCTAATAAGGCTGCATTTGGCATTCCTTATTCTAAAGATTTATCTACTTTTTGCAGTTAAAATACCCCTTTATACGAACACTGAGTTTTTTAATTGCAAAAAGGAGATAAATCCTTACAATAAGGAATGCCAAATGCAGCCTAAGATCCCTAACAGTCTGAGAAGTTGGTTTGACTATTTCTGAAAGCATCATGTGATATAAAATGAGCAGGAAAATTTTAGTCCATTTGCAACTCGTAAGATTCTTATGAATGTCAACTTTCAGAGACCATAAGAAATTAAAGGTAGCAATTGTTTTAATTCTTAACAGAAATGCATTTCTGATTTTCATCTTTCAACAGCAATATTGTCCTTTTAGGGATCTCCCTCTACATAAAAAAATGTCGGTGACAATGAGTTAGTCACCTCTGGAAAATGAATATAAAAAATAAAATTAATTAAACATTGAATTCCTGTTCAGATTAGGTCGTAAATGAATGATCCAAATCCTGAGAAATCTTTCTATCATTTCTCCAACGGGAGACCACGAAACTGGTAAGATGGGCAAGAAGATAGGGCTAAGATTTATAAACAATCTCCAGCCCTTATTTTTATTTTCTAATTTGTGTTAAGAAATTAAAAGACTCAACCTTAGAGCGAGAAAGGGCACAACTGTGCAAGCTCAATTGCCCAAGAGAGCTCAACCTTGGAATAGAAGGAGGTTAAATGGTTTTAACACTGATTCATGCATCTGCATTAATTTGTTTGAAAGAAGTAGTAGAAGAGAGCGACAAGGAAATGCAGAAACAGACAACCAAACCCATATGGGCCAAACAGGTGAGGACAAAACCGGTTGGTCCGCTGGTTTCATACTCCTTAAGATTCGACCAGCTGAATCTGGACGGTTTTTTACAATTATAATTGAAGCCCAATATTGGAGATTCAGCATTTCCTAATCCTAACAATGGTATGGTGGTTCCAGCTCCACGTTAGGCCCTGTTTTTCTGTACTTTAGGTTTTTACTTTCTTGTCTTGTCTTAACATATACCATATAGGAAATAGAAAATGCCATTCAAACCAAACTAGTCCCTATAAATAATCAGAAGTCAAAAGAATAGGAAGACAAATAGGTTCTTGATCCCCCACAACAAAACAAGCTCTACTATATATATATTTTAGAAACTCCATGCATTATAGTTTTCCTTTCTGGTATTTAAATAATTAACATCCTTTTCATCCACACCCACCGCGCTTTGTATTGGTCTAGATAATATGCATCACTAGCTAGTTTCTTTTCCCCACTCCAAAACTATCTCAAACTCAAGCAAATACTGGAATAGTTGAGACATTATTTAAATTCATGCCTTTTGTTGGGTTGGATATTATGTAGATTGGATGGTTCATATTCTTCTACTGGTGTCGATCAATGAGTTAGAGAGCTACATAAATGTATCGTAATGGTGATGTCATCTTTCTGTGAGACATCTTTACATTTCAAATTGAACTTAATTAAACAAGGCTCTGTTTGATTGCAGTGCAAATATCAACTGACGCTCAGTTTGGAAAGAGTACAAATGCAAATATAAGGTTTTGCACTCTATAAATTTGTATTATTTGTATTCTTTCCAAGCTGAGCCTGAATAAAAATTTTACACCCGGTTCAGTCTTCTGTTTGTAATTATGATTTGCACTCCTATCCAATTCTCTCTTATATAAAGTGGGAACCGCATCATCTCTCTTCCTACCTCTCTTCCAAACAAATAACCCTTTCCTTGCTTCCATTATCTTCTATATAAGTTGGGGACTGCATCATTGTTCTTCAGTCAAAATTGATGCAAAAGTAAACCAGAATTCACACTCTGCCAATTAATTTGCACTTCCATGCATTTACTCCAATATGTAAATTAAATTTGTACTGCAAACAAACTGAGCCTTAATGCTTGGACTTTGCAACAATAGAATCAGAGCAATTTTAAAATTTAGTAGAGGCGAAAGGAGAAGAAAAAGGGATCGATCGAGAAACTTGGATGCATAGAAAAGAAGATAGATAAATGATAATTAACTGTACAGTTAAGAGCAAGCTAGCTAATACAATAATGATCTTTGGAAGTTTCTCATATTAATTAAGCTCAAAGACTCACAGCATGATAAAAAATGCTGCTTATTGTTAAACCTGGAAACTTGATCGATCTACCATTAATTAAACAAAAAACCCAACTCGTGGGTACACCTCAAAATTGGTTGGTATTCGCTAAAGTCTGTGTGACAAGCAGTAGCAGCTATCAAATCCTTTGGAGGTTCTTAAGACGTCGACCTCTGTGGTGAAAACTGCCCAGACGGGCCTGTGATCAGACAGCTTTGATTCACCTCTACTGTACTGGTTTTGCTTCAACCCCTGGCCGAACCAAAGAATCCTATCGCACCTGCAAATCCCCTCTCCTCATGAGTTGCTTTCATCATACTAATTAAGGCATTTGTATTACTTGGTTTGATGATCAAGAAATTACTTCTGATGACTACTTACCAAGCAGGAGTTCGTCTCTTTTCGCCTTTTCTACCTTGAACACAGCCATAGTATACATCGGAATTTGGAAAGTATTTGTATGTGGGTCTGAATTTGATAACTCCTTCAAGCCATCCATCGAATACATGACCCTCCGTGAGCTCAGTCTTTAGCTTTATGTAACAAGAGATTTGATTTCAGAAGATCATTTATGTACAATTGTTGGATTCTCAAGCTCAGAATAATGATTCATTTAGAAGAAAGCTTAATTGTATATAGCAGGGAAAACTATTTAATACCTGATCATTTTCTAATAAGACATCCCATTCTCCTTTCTCGACTAACGATCTTGTCGTGGCCTCTGATAGAGAGATTCTATAATTCAAATCGCCAAGCAAAATTACCCGACTGCATGAGACCAGACACACAGTTAGCCGAGATTTTCCAATTAAGTTGCTCCAAGCTTATAATTTGAAATTTGTGGTAGTTACTAGTTAGCTTAAGGAAATTGTTTTTTTTTTTTTCATTATGAAGCAAAAATTCCACCTGTTCAGTGAAATAGTATTTATTTCAATAATTAAGAAAAGAACTTAGATAGTTGAATCAATAAGGGTATGCTTGGTTTGATAGAAAAAAGGGAGAGACAGAAAGTTAGAGAGAGTTAAGAGCATCCCGATCCCCCGATTTTCTGTTTCTCTCTTTTCTTCTATATATCAAACCAAATGCAGCTTAAAGAGATGGTTTACCACTTTAGTAGCACACAAGTTAGCTTTTTTCTTTTTTTCCCAGTGGCTTAGCTATCTATCTACTCAACTCATTTATCCATTCCAAGTCATAGAATAATCTCCTATTAGCCCAGGGCCTAAAAAGTTTTTAACAACTCTCTCTCTCTCTCTCTCTCTGTGCGTGTGTGTGTGCTTATGTAACAATATTAACTTGTTCCAGTAACTAATACCAGGAAAAGAAACAACTCAGAAAGATATTGATCAAAATATAGATAAACTGAACCTATATGAAGATCAATTCCTTTGGTGGTTTTAGTGGATATAAGTTACATACTCGTGATCTAGAACTTTTCTTGGCAAATCCAGTGAAGGGCCGCGAGGAAAGCTTGTCCGTGATAATATTTCTGCAGCGTTTGAGTTTCTATGCTTCTCATCGCCTTCTTTCTCTCCAGAAGCTAGATGACCACAAACAAAGCAGAAGCTCGTTTCATGCAAGTAAAATCTAACGGACACTGAACCCTGCATAACCATATATTTCACAAATATATAAGAACGAAAAATCTTTAAAATAAGCATCAACACCTCGGTCATACAAGTTATGAAGTTAACAGTAATAGTTCTATCTGCAAATTCTTTTGAGAAACTAACACTGTAAAATACCTTATTTCCAAGGCAACCCATGATACCGCAACCCACGCATGAGACGCTTGGATGCCGGATGTATCTGTGGAGGTCACTTCTAACCCAGACTGATACCAGTACTCCGACCATCTGCTTACTTATTATGCATCGATAATCTCGTGGGGCATTGCTTTCTATTAAACTGTCATCCTTCACAGGATAAACTTTCTGTAGTTCTATTTTATTAGCATCTTGTCGTTTATCTGAGGGAGATGCTTTCTTGTTCAGAGCTGTTCTGATCAAAGAATTCCATTTCATGGAAACTCTACTGTTTTCAGAGCCTAGAACATTGCCAGCGTTTAGAGCCACGACCTCCTGGAAACTGAATAAATTGTAAATACCAGAATCAGTTTATTTCTTGGTAATATTTCAACTTACTTTCATCCATGAAATTGTGAATTTACCCAAGAACGTAAATGTCACAAGGGTTGCTTTGGGTGTTGAGCAAATCCTCCATGTTCAAATCCTCGGTTGGTGCTATGCCTCCGACGTTCCATGTGCTAACGAATACTCTATAAAAAAAAAATCAGAAAGCAAAACCCATATTAGAACTATAATAAACTTGGCAGTATTTCAAAAGTTGTGGAAGTAGACACAAGATAATAGATGCACCACTTTGGAGAAAGAGTTGAGGGAGATGGTGAAACAGTTAAACATCTAGAGCTTACTTGTACTTCTGAGTACTAAAGTCTCTCTTAGGGGATGAAGATTGATGATGTGAGCTTGGAATTTCCAGCAAAGTCTCGGTATTGTCCGGAAAATCTGCTACGAAATTGTTGCCACCCAGTCTCCTTCGGAGGATCTTATTAGCTATTAATCTTGGCCACATGACCTTAAAACCACAAACAATTATATTGAATCAGTAACAAATTCTGGCTAGGGAGTCAGAGAGGAGAAACTAGATTCACTTCTAGATAAATAAACGAGAGAGAGAGAGAGAGAGAGAGAGAGAGAGAGAGAGAGAGAGAGAGGCTGCTCACTTCCCGCTTCCCCTGCATGCTGTGCTGATTGACTGAAGTTGTTTTGGGGTTGCTCAGAAGAAATAAGAGCTGGATATAGAGGCATAATGCCGAGGAAGAAGGGCTTTTTCCCTTCTTTTTTAGGGCCCACAAAGCCTTTGCAGCCGAAGAAATTAAAGTTTTGCAAGTTGTATTGGAAGGGCTTTTAGGTGATACAGTGATGATGATGCAAGCAGAGTTCAATTAGTTTGAATGACTTTCATTTATATATATTTACAGAGAGAGAACTCAGAAGAATAAAAAGAAAACCCAGTAATTAATCAGCATCCACGTGGAAAAAAATGGAGAAAACACTAAAAGATTTATGGATCAAAGAATTACTACTAAATTATTGCCCTTTCGGAGATGCTCAATAAAGAAAATCTCAAACCCCACTGGATTGGCCCTACTCGAATTAATTCCCTAATTGGCTTTGTTCATTACTTAATCGAGGGTGAGGCAGGTCGCAGGTGGGTAGGTCCATGGCTCCAAATGCACCCCAAAACAAGACAAACCATTCAATCAACTTGCGCGGGCTCGAGGTCTTGAGGTCAAGGGACTATTTTGTTGTGTTTGTGGGGAATTGAAGGACACGACGTCTTTGGGCTGGGGGATGTCTCGCGCAGTAGCCGCCCAAGCATGGCTAGAAACACTGATGGTGGTTAAACATTAAAGATTGGCCCCATAAATTTGGAAAAAGTAGATAAAGAAAATTGATGATTGGAAGATGAATTTTGTAGGCATATCTTATCATGCCCATGCGTCTTAATTCGGGGTGATTCTCACCCCTGCTAGGAAATGGTTTTCTTGTGGTGACCATGAGCAAATTAATTGATTGATGTAAGGTTTCAGCTGCTGATTCCTCCCCCCCTCTATGAGTGGGTTTTATAACATAATCCTGCTTGAAAGCGTCTGACATAATTAGGGCACTCCACCCAATGAGAAAACCTAAAATTGAAGTGAAGACTTAAGAGGAAGGCCGCACAAGTAGTCAGCCCATGATCAATATTGGCCTTCAAATAGCAGAGAATATGCTTAGTAGCTCCCAGTGCATAGAAGTGGGACAATGTAAAAGCTGACACATCTTGTTTATTCAGTATTTTTTGTTTTCATTTATCTTATTAAATATTTTAGTTAGTCATAATAAATTTATCTCTCCCATACCTTTCTACAGGGTTACCATTAGATCCTAATGTTTTTTCTTTATCTTGTTAATTTAATGTTTTATTATCTTAGATAATTCTAATATTATGAAGCTATATGTTACTTTTAGTACTATTAATTAAAGTTACTAAGCCCTCCTCCACTGCTAACACCCTTTTCATTTTCTTCATTTAATAAATTTTTAAAATAGTTTTTATTTCCATCTTTCCTTAATTTCTTAATCTTTTATCAAGACCTTTTAGTCCTACTTTTTAATATATCTAACTTGACTTAAAATCTTTGTCTCTTTCTAATTTTTCCAATTTATAAATTCCATTCTATCCTTCTTTAGTGCTTAATTTATGATATAGTTCATTATATGCTTCAAATTTAACTTCACTTACTTTTTTTAAACTTTATTTCTTATGGTTTTACATTTATCTAACATGCTCTTTTACACTTATAATCTTTTGCCAATATTTACAACATGCTTGTTTTACTTTGATTATATTTTGAACATTTTCATTCAACCACCAAGTTTCTTTAGTACTTTATCATTTTCCTTTAGATTATTCTAAGTCATTTGTTGCTACTTTTTTTATATAATTGTTAATTTCAAGCCATATATCATTAGTCTCTTCATCTAAATTCTATTTTCCTTTTATTAGTCAATCTCTAAGTTGTACTATTCTCCTTTAGATTTGTCATGTAATTATTGGGCACCTATTTTTTTATCTTATTTCTGATCTATTTTTTAATAGTCACTAATACAATCATTAATTTACTTTTTGTGGTTAAGCTTTCCCTTGAAATAACTGTAATTTTTATGTATCGTTCTTTATGTTTTCCTAGTAAGATAAAAATCTATTTGATTTAAGTTTGGTTCACTTTTAAATGCTACTAAATGTTCATTCTTTTTTAATATTGTTAAATCATAAGCAATTGCAAATTTTAAAATTGTATCTCCTATTTCAATCATCTCTCCAAAACCAAATCTTCAATGCACCATATTATTACTTTCCTGATCACTTCCTTTTTCCCACATGCCCATTTAAAACTCCTCCTATAAAAATCTTTCCTTCTCTTTATTTTTTTTAGATTAATCCTTGTAAGTTTATTCTCTAAATTTGTCTTCTAATATTTCTTCTAAACCAAATTATATTAATGTTTCCCTTCCCTAGAATTGGTCTAGTTAAAATTATTTTATCACAAACTCTTTTAACATTTACAGTTTCATTTTTTAGAACTTTATTTCTAGTTAAAATTATTTTCTCCCCTCAACTTGGGTTTTCATTCCATTATGTCTACTAATTCCATCATCTTAGCGGCTGTTTGGCATCATTGTAGTTTCCTGGAGCAACGACGTCATATCAACGCCACGTAGGAAAAAACGGTGCTCCAGGAAACAATCGTATGTTTGGAACCGTTTTTCTATAGAAAGCGGTGCTCCTAGCCATGTCTTGGAAATCAGGAAGGCATGGCTTGGAGCAACACCAAATTTGGTGTTTCTTGGAACTTCAGCTCGTTGCTGCCAATAGGGCAGTGATGTGGCACTGGATAATGGGTAGAAGCACAGAAAACATTTCCTAGAACATTGATGCCAAATAGAAAAAGTTATTGCTCCTGTAAACGTCCTGATTGGCAGCAATGATTCCAAACAAAAAAATGCACCGTTTTCTAAGAATACAGCGCTTCCAACCCACACATCAGCAGCACCGTTTTCTCATCTACAACTGCAGCATCGATGTCAAACATATACTTAATTGCTGCATTATAATCGTGTTTTGATAGAGAAGCACAAGTGTTTTGCCTTGCATTGCTATTGCTTGTCATTCGGTTTAATTTGTATGGTGAGAAATAACGTAACTCTATTCTCTAGAACAAAATAAGTATCCAATAGATCGTAAATAGAACTAACCAATTCTTGTGTGATGGAGATACTAATAAAAATAATGAAGATGTTCATCAACAATGTCATGTTAATAAAGGAATAATTTTAGGTAAAAGATTGATAAAATAGAAGCATATCCTTCGGTTGGAGACTGGAGTTATCAAAATAAATTATAATGCTAAGAGAATATCGATCAGAAGGCAGATTCTCTTTTGGTTTTGCACGCAGATCTGATGATTTATTTGGCTGCTGTTGGTGGAGGATGTGAAGGAATTTTATATAATCTTGGGGCTGAGACTATGACCTATTTTGGAAGTACAACTTTTGCACGAGAGAAAGGATATGGAGGAAAGGTTGAAATAGAATATGATTCTAAGCAATCAGTTGCAGCTGTAAATGGCAGAGTTTTCATATATTTTTTTGATGCTTTTAACGATCTTGGTTTTAATTTTTTTATATATCTTTTGTTTATGTTAGAATAGAATACTCTATGCTGCGCATGTGGTGGCAAAAAAAATGCAAATTTATTGTCTGAAAAGGAAGACTGGAATTCCATTCCTCTTGGTTAAGGCCTAAGGGATCTAAGTATCTAACCTACCTGTGCTTGGTTTCCAAAAAGATAAGAGAGAAAGAAAGTAACACAACCTAACAATATTGTAATGGCGCTAGTGTTTTGCAATTAATATATATACCACTATTCTCCTTATTCAAATCCCTCTCATTAATTAAGTGTTATATTCAGGGTATTAACTTTCATTAACATTCATTGAATCCTATTTTTGACTAGAATACCCTTGTTTTTGAATTTGATTTCTCTAATTGTGAGAGCAAAAAGTGTAATTTGAACTATTACATTTCTCCTTATTCAATTTCCTCTCATTAGGTCTTATATTTATAGTATTAATTCACATTCTTTCATTGAATTATATATTTAACCTATTATTTTCACCAAAAAAATAAATAAATATTATCAACTGGATCTATATCCAATACTTTTAATGATATAATAAATTACATGCTTTTTAAAATTAACCAAAAAATTAAACTATTTTCCATCCTGGTTATAAGTAAGCAATTCAACCATTTGGGTCAAGTGAGCCAATCCATGATATTATAAAAACAGCTAAAAAACACAAAAAAATATACAAAAGTATATAAATTATGCAAGAAATGTTTGTGTATATGTCTAATATTTTATATTAATGAACCACATTAAAGAAAAATAAATGTGGCAAAGATTTTTTTATTGATGATAGAAATAAAATACAAATTTAAAACGACCTAAAAATGGAGTTGTTTTCCTATTTTGTGGCAAGTCAACTATTCAAGCTTTTGTGTCAAAGGCGTCAACCCTTGATGTCATAATTGAATAATAATAATTAAAAATATGAAAACACAAAAAAGTATTAAGAAATATATATCTTTTTTTTGTAGAAAACATTTGGACATATCTCTAATATCATATATTCATCATATTAAATAAAAATAAGTACAACAAATAAGAATAATTTTTATAGACATAGAAATATAAAATAATTGTAGCAAATTTTGGAAACATATTATATACTATCATCATCATAAAAAAATTGCCAATGGATGCCAAAAACCTAGTGGGTGTTTGGCACCTTAGTGTTCTACAAATTTTCCATTTTATCGTTTTGTTATTAAGAAAAATCAGTAATGCTATTTAAATGCATTTGGCAAGACTATTTTTTAGAAAACCTTGCTGAAATAATTAGCTTTAGGACTCATAAAAGGAGGCATTTCTTGAATGGTCAAAATTGGTGTTTCTTGAATTGCCTTGGAGATCTTGAACCATCACAGTGACATGGCATATTGAAATTTGAAAAAAAAAATTTTACTGACAGCATTTTTGAGATGTCATACAGTTGTCAATGTAAATATATTATAAAAATAGGTCAAAACACTTTAAATCTCCAATCAGCATGCATCTCCGTCAAACACATTTTCTTTTTGTGTTTT